ACAAATCCCCGACAGAACACGGCTGCCGGGATCTGTTTATGACGTGCTGACACACATTTCAAATGGTTTTCAACGGTCGTTTGATCGCGTCCGGTGTAGGCAGACTTTAGCTGTTGTAGACACTGTGTTACTCACCTATTGAGAAGAAACAAAGCAACCTCGGCGTCCGATCGCAGGCCTCCGCTCCTTGAGTTCTCTCCGGCGCTGGAAAGCTGATCCGATATTTACACGGGTCCTACTTCTTGCCTTGTCGTTCCGCAGACGTTTTCCTCTTTTGTTTTTTTATCCGCCATCTCTATCTTTCTGTCGCTCGGCTCGGCTAATGTCCGTTCCATGCACTGAAAGCTCTCTCCTCCACATCACGAGTAGACACACCACTTATTGCTGATTGGCTACAAGTTTGTTTTGCTATTCGGCCCGAATCAGTTTTCTAAAGTGTTTTGGAAAAATCACATACCCTGCCTTTAAGTGTGTAATTCGCTAAGGATTCTATCTTCTTAAATATTCATAAGGCTCATTATTATTAAACAGGACCTGAGGGTGCAATTCTCGTCAACACCGATAGGGGGTTGATAAGACTTTCATTTCTTCATCTCAACAAGTATGGCGGCGTACTGAAGGAAATTGTTTGCTGTTGGGTTGAGGTGGTATATATTTTAATTGTCTCATACTTCAATATTTTTTAATTTCGTGCAACGAAATCGTAGTGTATTTGTATTTCTGTACAATTAATGAATGGACGGAACAATAGTTGCTGTCACACAAACATGTCTGTAGGTTCGCTGTCTGTAGATTCGCTGCCTAACGTTCTTGTTTTTAGCTTCATTATTAATATGGAGCTTACTTTCCGTTTCATTTTAGCCTCATGTGTTTAAAACTGTCATGAATATGAAGTGTTGTTCTTGTACTGAGTGACTGAATTATACATCGTAGGTTGTTCCTGACATGAGCTTTGTCATTCTGTTTTGTGTAGCTGGGCAGCTTCTTTGATGAGCAGAAGCTCCTGTCAGAGCAGCCTGCTGCCCACACTCCTCAGGAACAACTGGATGACCTTGAGTGTCACGGGTGCTCTGTGTGCCGTTCCTTTCATCCAGGTCTGAGCCATGATAATGTGATTGGAATATGGACTTTGATTGTTATAGTTGCTAATATTCAGTACACAAATGCAGAGTTCAAAAGATAGCATAATTCCTGATATAATTGGTAGAATCTTCATGTACAATTCACTGTAATTACATTTACATTTGCATCAATGTAATTACTCTTACATTTATGTGGAAAAAATAGCTGTTCAATTCATTGAGTTTATTTATTTATTTACATTTAAAATCATTTAAAATTAATGCATTTTATTTCTAATCGTATCTTGAAGTTAAACTGTTGACATTTCAGGTTTGACATCTATTAACCTATTTGCTTTGCTGAGAGTCCTTTACCTAATTTGATGTGTAAGCAGCCTTTTAAAAATTGCTTGTATATCTCACATTATACTTTATTATCACCAAATCTCAGATCCAATCTTTTTGTCAACTTGTTTTCTTTCAGTTTAGCACAGGTTTTGCATTTCTTTTTGGAATTGATTATTTGTAGGCCACATTAAGTTTATGCACCTTAGTTTTTAAGAGAAAAAAAGTGTTTTTTGTGGATAATATTGGCAGTGTTCACTCATAAACTGAGGTGCTTAAGCTCAGATGAGGCATTACAAACAATCAATTCCAAAAAGAAATGCAAAACCTGTGCTAATTGAAAACAAGCAAACAGTTAATAAAAATATTGAATTCTTTATTTGGTAATAAAATAGCATAACAAGAAATTTATAAGCAATTTTTTTGTAGGCTGGTCATGATGCCACTTGTGTAACAAGATGTGGGGGG